GATGAGCTGGCGTTTAAGGGATTTGCGCGTTTTGTCGTAGTTTGAATCCGAAGGAATGGCTTTGCGAGCGTCCAGCAGGGCAACCGAAGTCGGGGAGATCCATCTGGCCCACTAGCTAACCATGGAACTTTTAGTTTGTTATAAAGATAACTGTACCGCAATTCGGTTGGTACACAGTCTGGACTCAGGCTCATTTGTGCAATATATCACGAAGCTTTTGAGGGGCTGTTATCATTTCGATGTTTTCCTTGTCTATCCCTCAGAACTACGACAGCTGTGCTATCTCCATAGCTATTTCCAGAAACATTCGTAACGTTCCTTAGTCTATCTTGCACGAGTCTCAAACGTTGTTCTTCTCCAACCCATTTCCTCTTCCTTTGGATCAAGTTCATTCACCATCAATCATTTCGAAATGAAACTTTTTTCCCTCCAATCGGGACTAAGTTTAAACCCCAGCAAATGTGTTGAATGCTCACAGTTTAGTTTTCACACTTCTCATTCCCGACAAACACGACAGTGAGTGAACCTTTTCAAATATGTTGGTATAATCATAGATAACAATCTTTATTGATCAACTGACATCCATCATTGCGTTGGTAAACCACGGCGCCTATCATTTTTCATATTCGAAAGTTTTGCGCTTCCCAACCAGTTAGTTCCACCTTTTTATACCACTGTATCTTCCCCATCTTACTGTATTGTTCTCCAGTCATTTTTTGGCTTACTTAAACAAGATTGCAGCAGAGTCTTACGCCATCATATACTAATGAATATTAGCAGTGATTGTGAAACTTGCAGCTCGTCACTGAACTTCCTGTGTCAGCTTTGCGGAGAGCATTCGCGTCGATCCTGATTACCCATTGCACGCAGAACTGACAAGTTGTTAGTCCCATCCCACCAAACGCTCTGAATTCCGAAAGATGTCATCTCGTATGGACGTTCACTGAGATTCACCCAAACCATGATTCGCACGTTTATTCACAAACAATAAAAGGAAAACAAGTGAACTCCGTTTCAGCCTTGCACTGTGAAATGTTCGTAAACAATTTTTTCCGGTTAAACCTATTCCTTGGCAAAAATGGCGTTTTCTCAACTGAAATCTAAGCTTCAGTTTGGCAAAAGTTGCCGGTATCTCATTCGTCATAGCACTGGCCTCTTGACTCCGTTGGAAACAAGTCGAAAGTGATTACTTGTTACATGATGGAATTTGAAACTTCGTCTAGTTGGATAAAATATCTGGATTTTTTTTCTAGATAACTAATAAAAGTTGATTGATAGTTTATTGAGTTAAGTACATCCCATTGCTCACAACTTTATGTCCCTTTGTTTGCTAAGCCAGTTTTGCGTTCCACGAGAAAAAAATACCCATTTCAACGGCGCACAACAAAGCATTGGGTAATAAACTATTTTTTGCTAGTTCCCCTATCTAAAATTATCAGAACAAGACGACTAGCGAATAAGTGCGTCGTGGGTAATTTTTTCCTCTGGTCAATACACTTGTGCATTTGAAGTGCACAGATGGCAGCAAGTAATGGTAGAATGTGTGTTGAGTGAACTATGTGGATGTGGTAAAGAGAGATGGAAACCGGTGATCCAAGCCCCGAGACTCGGTCGGAGTGGAAAACAACATGAGGCCCCACGGGTTAGGAGTGGTATTGAACCGAACGACAGAAAAACTGCATAGCACCAAAGCTGGGTGGTGGGATTTGAACCGCGGACAACAGGAACCAAAGCAACATGCCAACAAGTAAATAATTAAGGTTTGATCGCCAAACAAATGATTGAATGTCCCCCCCCTACAAAAAATGAAATCGACACGTGTATAACCATCGTTACAATGGAACTCTGCACATTTTTAGTTGCTGGTGTCCATAATGCCACCATGGGCCAGAGAGAGATCGTCCATCATCACATATGTCCATGGCAGAAAAGAAGAAGACCAAACATCAAATGTGAAACTCACTGGAACTTAATCTAATCTCGCCCAGTCGTATAACAGTGCTCATCTATGTATACGGATTTGCGCATTCTCGGGGATGACCCGAGCCCCGAGGTCAACTTCCGAACACACGTACAACAGGGCATTAGCGATTTGCTAATAAAAACGGATCGTAATATGAGTCATTGGGCATTTGATAAAAAGCAGTCTATTAATGATGAGTCACCTGGGACTTGATGCATCAGCTAGCTCACCTTCAATGCAGCAGTACTATCCAAGGAATCATTACAACGCAACTCGACAAAACACGACAAATTGCGAGCCTGAAAAAGGGAGCAGACATGAATTCGATAAATAAGAATATTCTCAAAGGTAAATGTATATGGCTCAGATGAATGACACCAATGGAACGAAGGAATAGTGGGGAAACTATATTGAAAAGCGTGACTGCTTATTCAGTGAAGACTACATACTGACGGCTAACCACATAAGTAACTGTTTTTCTGTTGAAACTAAACAGACCAAAAGGACGGACAGTGTCACTATATATATATATATATATATAAAGTTTCCATCCAAACGTTACAATAAACATTTTACAACACACTACACGCCTCCACTCTCTCTTGAAATATATATATAATATTAGATTTGTATATAAATGCTACATACATTACTTTTATTTTATTCTTCTATAGGTTATCGGATCTGAATTCAATGCGATAGACCTGAAAAATACGAACGAAGATTCAGTACCATTGATTTGTGTTTCTAACACATACTAGTGGAGGGTGACATGTTCATCGCAACGACTTTTTTAAATGATCTGTACGTTCATCAAACTCCGCTCACTGGTGTACGATTTTTGATGACTGTAGATTGCCCAAAGATGAGCCAACTTTGTCACGGTTGAAGATTTCACACCCATTCAAGTAGTGATAAATGAAATTTCACTGTATTGAATGGAATCAAACTGTTTGACAGCTATCAGAGAGATAGACGGGAAAATCGGACGGATCGATCAATATAAAAGGGGTTTTAAAAAGATGGGAGAACTATCCAATTGGGAGGAAAATGTCCACATTGTCGTTTGCTCACAGGGGCTGTTAGGTAGCACGATCTGATCCAACCAGGAGAAAATCGAGACAAAGGTGGTCCAATATGACAACAAAACACAAATATGACACTAAACTGATAAATGATTTGTGAATTGTGAGAAAAAAAGAGACCAAAGAAAACGGTCGACAGAGGCGGTATCGCAATTCGATACCCCTTGCAGGACATCAAACTCACTCGAGAGAAGTTATGTTTCACAGCGAGATTTAGCGATTTGGGGGAGACGTATAAATCGTTCTGGAAGGTGGTAAACGGAACCATGTCGATTCCATTCGTAACCGTATATCGATTTCCGGTGCCCAGATCAGCTGGGTTGGCATGCGCACGCGAACTGGATCGTTCCAGGGAATTGGTACGGGTTGATGCGGTGGAAGTGGTACTCGAGATTGCTGCAGTCCACACCGCCGAGTCTAATGGGGATTGTACACTGCCTGTGCTACAGCTGGAAATGACAGAGTCCCTGTTGCTACGTGCACCCGAACCTCCAGTCATGGACAAAGCGGACAGACGGTGCAAACTACCCGACTGCCCGGCGAGATCTGCAAATGTAACGTAGTGGGTTTGAGAATATGCCACAGAGCATAAGACTGACTCGCCAAAAAGACAAAGTCTGATAACTCAATCATTAGGCCACCGATCACCTCCAACCACGCCTCTGCTCAAAACTACATCACAGCTCCTGCACTTATGTCACGACACATTAATAACGGAACAACCGACTGAGCCTGATGGTACACTAAACAATAACTACAATCTGCATAATAAAGGCAATTAACCGATGTGTTCGTGTCTTCTTTAGCTCAAGAAAACGAAACTGTATATATCGACAATCCGAGATTGAACGTTTTCGTCATTACAGCAACTAAGAATACCTCGCTAGAAAAAAATTCGCGATGTCAGTTCTGTTCATTGGGTGCACGAAGCACGGATAAACTTGCAAGATGAACAAAATCTACATCAAAATGGGTGGAGCGAAGTACACAACAATAAATTGCATAGACAAGTATCAGCACACTTCTTTTAACCCGGCTGCAAATCGCACAGTGTTTCGAAACAGAGAGAGATGTAGAAGTACACGAGAACAAATGGGAAAGAAAAATAACTACTACTATTTCGCCTGCATCATTTATCAATGGGGGTTACATATCAAAAGGTTACCTAAACGGTCAAAATAATCTGCCAATAGATCCACTGATATTATGTGAAACGACTGACCACATGTAACTCCCGATTAAAACTAACCTCGTGCGGCTAACGCATGAAACTGAATCCAGGGGTAATAACGTGTTCCTCTTTCAGCCCAAATCCAACGAAACAACAGAAATCGAGACAGAAAATCAAAACGGTTGACAAAAATAGATTGTGTGAAAAACGAACGGGACCAATGAAGACGTGGTGAAAATCAGACGGAAGTTCATTTATCAATAACTGAAGCTGTGCAGATGTGAAATACCTGCTGCACCTGGTCCGACATAACAAATCACGATATCAATATGAGGAAGAATAATTAGATAAACATATACATATTATTCAAATTGTTGTTGTTGTTGTTTTCGGTAGATTGAAGTCCGATGCTGAAACTGAAAAATTCAGTAGCCTCGGCGGGATTAGAACCCATGCATGCAGGCCACTTAGGCTTTTGCACATCGCACGCGAAATTCGAGGCCACACCGATAATACTGATCTTTTCGCATCTAAATTAGTTTCATAGCAAATATCAGTCTCCTTTTGGTAACCTGCCAGAACGTGCTGTTAATAATTTTACCATTCCAAGGTCAGCTCTGTAAAATCTCTTGGAATATAACTTTTCATGGTCCAAATTTATTGAACACATTTATATCAGGATTCTATAATCTCAGACTTGGCAGTTGTGCTGTTCCTTAAATGTAATCCCTAAACTAGCCACATTTTTCATTTCATTCTTTGCACGGTCTGAAAGAAAGAGATTATATCCTCATTTCCAGATGCATGACACTTCTTTCCCAAGACTGTTTTTATTCATTTTATTGTGTGTAAGCATTTTTGCTGTATACGATCGATTCACCAATCATATATTATTTAATGAAAAGAACCGTCTACATGCTCGCCTTAATAAATGTGCCTCATCCGCTTACTCGTTCTAAATTTAAGCTTCTCTCTGCACCTGTTGCCAATTATCAAAATAGAACGATCCTTTATCCTGTCTATATGTTAGTACATCGGACATTTGTCACTTTGGGATCGACAAATCACCAGTCGCGCCGGAGTTGGCTTCTCTTTATTATATGTAACTGACGTTATTCCACTCCTTACTCCTGGTAAGTACATGTTTAACCTCTGTATACAGTTGAAAATGCTGAAAATTTACCCTATTGCGCAAATAAAGCCTGTTTTGAATCGGATTGATATGTTATCCATGTACAGGTGCACAATTTTTCTTCACTTCGACATGATTGCATTGTACGAAAAATACCATTCCTTCCTGAGAATGACCTTTTACCATAGCGAGGAGAGGGATCGATCTTAAGTCAACGTTAACCTATGCAAGTCCACACATCAGGTCATACCGGATATAATGGTATGCGCGCGGGCGTCTTCAGAAGAAAAAGTGGATCACGTGATCCGACACACTGGTCGTTGGAATGACAATCAGATGATTACAGGAATTCCTTCCGATTCGCCCAGGCAAATTTTGAACATTGGAGCAAGTGAGGCACACAAGACCCACAAGAAACACCGACACCAACGCGCATCAAATGGTATGATGCTTAGTCTAAATGGAAACATTTTTACAACCGGGAAAGCATTCATCACAGCACTCATAGCAATTGCATGAATGCATTCACTCACAGTCACGGTCACTGCACACTCGCACACTCTTTGAATTTAGATAGAACAAATGCGTGTTTTTATAAAACAATTTTTTGTGGTACATTAACTGGTTATTTATGATCACACGGGGAACATATTCAACTGCGGTTGATACGCTCTAAGATGGATTATATGGGACACTGCACGACGAGGGGCGGTGGTCAAGCGGTATTGGTCACAATTATATAGCCTTGAACGTCGTGTTCAAACCCAACTACCGCTAACTACATACCTTTTTTCGTATCGCACGGCAACCATTTAACTGATCATACATCCCATCTTGGAAATTGTATATATAATTTGGTATCCAATAATAGAAAGCAAAAGAATAAAAGAAAGAAAAGGGATCCTAAATTATATCAACTTTTGAATTACGTCAACGCTTAGCTCACCAGATTCGGATCAAGCGGTTGTCTGAAATGCGGGCATGAACTGCTAGCTATATGAGATATCCCAGTAGGGTTTAGACTTTTGGGACTGAGTTAGACTTAGAAAGCCTCTTGGTAGGGCGTTTTTCCATCCTGAGAATTAATTGTATATTCGTCTATTCAAAAAAGGAAAGTAAAAAAGATTATACAATTTGTGTGTAAAACGTTTAGCAGCCAGGATGGTAAAATGAGGGTCTGAATATAACAGAGGACTGGGATGAAACGACGGTCAACAGGTGGATTCCCCGTCAGTCGAGACAGTACTCAACTTCCTGACTTGTTTCGAACAACCCCATCGGTACGTGTCATATGCGAAAAGTACGATGATAAATTCGTTGATACCTGTCACTGATATGACAGATTTATTATTCCGTTTCTTCCGTAGTTGGAAAAGACAGGTTAACTAATGACCAACTGCAACCAAACACTAATGTACAATCATCGTTTAGTCTTAAAAAGCTTTCCTTCAATCCTGAGCATATGACTATGAAAATGTAACTTGTCACATGCAATCACGTCACATTCCGTTGAAAAACCGAATCTAGCAACTGAATCGCTAACTGTTCGCTAGTGACAAACGCCATCCTGGATTCATTGGGGATCTATAAGCATGTCTCGAAAATCCAATTATTTGTAATATGCAATCAAGGTTAATCGCATCTAGAACGGTTGAAAATCACGAAAGAGCACGAAAGCTCAACTAGGGCACGATTTCGGGTCGACACTCACCGCATAACCCATTACGTGAACCCGAAATTTCATCAACGAACGTTTTACTGCCGTTTTACGTTTTACTGACTGATCATGTTGTCTCAAATAAAGGTCGTGCCAAGGAGCATTCCACGAAAATTTGCATTATATCCCATATTTTACTCAATTCACTAACAACAATGCTTATTGCGCAATTACCTCGATTATTCCCGATAGCAACACTGTTCGCATCATTTCCTTTCTTATCCGAGTCGTGTATTTTATAAACTAGGACCTTCCTGGAATCCTTCCACAGAGTAAAATTGTGATGGGATAGATTACTAATATTTAACCAGTTGTGTATCACTTAACACAACAACCGGGGAACAGGTATCTCCTTTAAATCCCATTTTAAATTATATTAGGACATTAATTCAGGAATTAGAATATCTCTTTAAAATTGAACACCATCCGCCTCAGCTAGTTGTTTCCAAATTACCTCACTGAAACTTAGTACGTACGCAACCTCACCACACACATCTAAAAATATGGATTTTATTACACACTACTATGTGATGGAATGTGTAGATGGAGATAGAAAAGCATTTCTACAACTCGTTAGACCGTTGTGGAACCGATGCGAAATAAGCCTGCACACCAAGCTTCGGGGTTATCAGTCTACCATCAGTCCCATCCTCACCTATGGTTGTGAAGAAGGGCCTCCAAGAGTACTGAACAGAAAGAAGTTTGAGGTATTCGGTGCTTGAGCCGCATCTCAAAAGTAAATTTGAGAAATCGGATTTCTAATGGCGAGGTTCGATGCGATGGTGCCGCCCGAAAATCGACAAGCTTTCCGAAGTGCTGCAACACCAGTGTCTTTGGTGTTTTGTCCATGTACTCCGAAGGCCTAAAACTAAACTCTCGCGTCAAACTTTAGCTCCGCATTCT